CCCCCAGGGGGGATGGTCACGCCGCAATCCCTTCTCCTCCATTCTCCTCTCGGGATCTTGGACACGCACGCACACGCGCCCGGCGTGAGTTTTAAGCCACCGGGTCCGGGACACGAACCGCGGTCGACTACGTGGGAGTCCAGCGACATAGCCATTACGCTAACTGCTGGTTCCCTAAGATATCTACTTTCAAACAAAACTTACTAGACATGTAAAGAAAAGAAATGATTACATCTAAGAAGTGAAAAGCAGAGTCCATAGAAATAGATTCCAACTTGGTTCAGATATTAAATTTGTAATACAAATACTTCATAGAGCTACTAAATATGTTCACAGAATTAAAGCATAAAATTGATCTTATAGGTAAGGGAATAGAAAGTTATGAAAGAGGTTGAAATGGAGAGTATAAAACACACACACATATTCAGCTCATAATGGCTCCATAGTAGTAAGAAAGAATTAACTTAAAATGTGGACAGAGGCCAATATGAATCAAAACTACCATCCAAATACTACGTGAGTAAAAAGAGGTAAGCATTTATGATAATAAGAGGCTCTCTCATTATCAGTAAAAATACATATTATTTGTTGTTTTTACTAAATGTAATGGTCATTAGCAAATAATGTCCCAACTTCTATATTTCAAAGGAAATAATACAAAAGTATGTGTTTTTAGTACAAAAAGTGCTGTTACAGCAAAACACATTTTCAAACAGCTTAATACAAAATACTACAGCTAAACTGAAAAGTATGCAAGATTATTATATCTGCCATCTCTAATCTATTATGTATAGTAAAAAAAGCAGTGAACTTAAACATACTCAATAGAAACTATCAAGTAAAACAACAATAACAAACATAAAACAAAAAAGCAAAAACAATTCAGAGGAAAACTGAAGGCCCTCAAGTACTTGTGAAACAATATAAAATAGTCTAATATATACATAATTGAAATCCCAAAATGAAAGGTACAATAAAAAAATTATGAAATTATGACTGAAAATTTTCACAAACTAGAAGAAAATACTAGGGTATAGATCTAACAAGATGAACACATTTACAAAGGAAGATTATTACAAAGAAAATTAGTCCTAGACACAATAAACTGCTAAAGCACAAAAATAAGGAGAAAATCTTGAAAGCAGCCAGAAAAAGACTACATTTATGGGATCAGCAATTAGCATAATGGCTATGTCGCTGGACTCCCATGTAGTGGACCACAGAATTGTTCACAGAATTAAAGCATAATTACCTTCACAATATAATGTTCTAACTTTTACTTTAAAGACACATAGATTTTTTTCTTCTTCCTCTTCTTTTTTTTCTTTCTTCTTTTTTTTTTTTTTGGAGAGGTTGATGCTATAGGGTACATGTGCTTGCCAGAAAGACAGAGAGATAGCAAGAAGTCTGGGACCCAGAGGCTTAAACTCAAGCTCTATAGGGTACATGTGCTGCCCAAGATCCCGAGAGGAGAGTAGAGGAGAAGGGATCGTGGCGTGGCCATCCCCCCCGGGAGGTGATTTCTTGCTTTCTTTCTCTGTCTTTCTGGCAAGCACATGTACCCTATAGCATCAACCTCTCCAAAAAAAAAAAAAAAAAAAAGACTACATTTATATACAGGGGAACAAATGGTTAGCAGCTTACTTATAGGCAAGAAAATATTAGAATGACATATTTTAAAAAGTGGAAAGAAACGGTTACCAACCTAGAATTCTATACAGAGAAAAAATATGCTTCAAGAATACAAGTTAATAAAGATATCCTGGGATTAAAAAAACTTAGAATTCATCACTAACACATATATACTACAAAAAATTTTACAGGGAGTTCTCTGAGCTGATTGAATCAACTCAAATCTGTGAGAAAAGATGATGTGAATGAAACAAGGTATAAATGTAAGTAGAGAGAAAATATTACATATACTTCCTTTTTTGCTATCATTCTTTTAAAAGATATATGAGCCTTGGGACCAGCAGTTGGCAGATCGGACTCCCATGTAGTCGATTGCAGCTCAAGCCTCAGACCCGGTGGCTTAAACTCACTCTGGGCGCGTATGCGTGGCGTGCCCAAGATCCTGAGAGGAGAATGGAGAAAAGAGATTGCAGCAAGGCCATTCCCCCTGGGGGGTGACTTCTTGCTATCTCTCTGTCTTTCTGGCAAGTGCATGTACCCTATAGCAAAAACCACTCCCTCCCCCCCCCAAAAAAAAGAAAAAGAAGAAAAGATATATGTGTCTTTAAAGTAAAAGTTAGAACATTATATTGTGAAGGTTAATTTTATATAGATATATAGTATACACTATTAAAAACAGCAGTAAAGAGTAAATATCTCCTGTTCTTAGCAGAAGATATACAGCAACAAAGGGAAAGTCATGTAAAAAGGCAGTCAGTGAAAGAGAACTGTTAATTCAGAACTCTATATTCAGTACTTTAAACCTATTGTGCTATATCCTTTTTTAGCCTCTATGTTTTCTGATGAGGATTCCCCTGTACTAATAGACCTGTCAATTTTGCAGATTTATATTATGCTATTAATGTTCAAAAATTTGAACATACATTTCATTGGGTTGATCATGTTCAGAGTTTGTTCAGCTGACACACAATGAAAGGAGCTATTTGTACTGTAAACAGTACACAAATGACTGATATTCCTGATATATGTGGAACATGATATCAAAAATTCAGTATAAACAAATAAGAAAAGACCATGAGAGAGCTCCTGAGGGCAATACTGGTACTTGAGCAACAAACAGAAATAATGATAGTAGTAGATATGGATACCTAGGAAAAAATGTAGATGCCCATTACTCTGTGTATGCATGCATGTGTGTGTGTGTGTGTGTGCGCACACACACATATATTATATATGTATATAAATATATATATAAAGTGTGTGTTTATTTATTTATTATTATATATATAAATAAATAAAAGACAAAGTACAACTTGTCATTTCAGAAGAATAATTGTAAAAGGAAAGAAGAAAACAGAAGATCACCACTAGGCAAACACCACAGTAATAACTATCTCACACAAAATTCACTGATGAATGCTAAAATTAATAGGCAAAAATATTTTGGAAAGAGTATTTCCAAAGTTATGAAATATCTTCCTTTTGGTATTTATTAACTAAAAAATTAAAAGTAATTTTATAGTGGAGAAACTCAGCATATGCTACCATAAACAAGTTGTCAAGATTAGTATTACAAACCACACCTTGTTATGACACTGAGAAGGACACATTGCTTCTATGGTAATCTTGCCGATAATGCATAACCTCACTTTTAGAAAGAAAATGAACTCAAATACAAAATCGTACAAAATAACTGTCTAGTACTTTTCGAAAGTGTTAAGGTCACAAAAGAAAAGCAAACAATGAAGAGCTTTCATGGATAGGAGACAACAAATACATGATAACTAAATGCAAAGTGGTATCCTGGCTTGGGAACTAAAAATCTGATAAAATTCAAATAAGGTTGGTAATTTAGTTAATAGTATTCTACCAGTACTATTCTACTTCCTGACTGTGAAAATTATACTAGGGTCATGTATAAGGTGTTAATATAGGAAGAAGCTGAAGGTTATCTGGGAATTCTCTGTGATATTTGTGAAATTTTCTTGGAAGTCTAGAATGTTTTAAAAATATGTACTTGTTAAGTTCTAGAAAAACTATAGTAATAGATTAATTTAAAGCAGATAATTGTCTGCCATGGGCCAGGGGTTAAGGTAAGAAAGTAGACTGCAGAGGGGAAAAAGAGAATGCTACTAGATGATGAAAATTTTTTATATCGTAATCATGTTGGTAGTTAATGACAATATTCTGTTGATAAAACTCATCAAATTATGCACTTCAACTAGCAAATCTTGGTATGTAAATTACACCTCAATAAAGATGACAAAGAATTCCAGATTTAAGTAATACCTTCATTTAAAAAAGCATTGGGCTGTAATCCCAATAAAAGCAGAATACAGGGGCGTGGTGGCGCCCGCCCTATGGCCAATAAAGCAGAATACAGAGAAGAAATTCAAAATAAGATTATATGTGTGTTTACCAGATTAATTAACTGAGTGTGTACCACATCTTCTACCAAAACTGCTGTTTCATAAAGAGGCCTCCGTGCATCACCTAAAGAAAACCTGCAAAAATAAATAAATACATTAATTAAATAAATAAAATAGAAAACAACCAATATTAAGAAATGCACAACTAAAGAAGGCAATAAATGAAACATATTATAAGAATCAGCTTAATACAAAGAATACACATTGTTCTCTCTCAAATGACTGAATGGATATACAATTTTTTCTAGACAAAAAACAATGAAGCTCTTCTATACAAGTTGTAACTTAGATAGCAAAAAAGTGCAGTATTATATTAGGTTATTTCTAGACTTATATTTTTTAAAGGGTACTCACCATTTTAAAATGCAAAATTCTAACAATCACCATAATATAAGCAATCATAAAATCATGTAATTACATCCAAATTATCAGTGTGTGCAGTGCACAGTGATAGAGTATATGAAGGTAAAAAAAAAAGTATGTGATATAATAAACACTGAAAATCACTATGCAAAATGTATATAGATGACATCAACTAAAATTTCCAATTACATATAAGCAAATTTTCAGGAATGGATTACAAAGTTGGTCTTAAAATTCCCTTTCTCAACTTTCATATGGTGGACTACATATGTACAGAATCCTCTCATAGTAAAGACCACTTGAAAATGAACAACAAAAAAAAATCATGTTTTAACTAGCAGAAAAGACAAAACAGAAGTCAGACAAGATGAGAAAATAGTTACAAATACACTGTAAAGTTATATGTAATCCAATGTAATATAAAGAAGATTATGATGATAATAAAAATTAAAAAAAAGAAAATAGAGTTACACAGAATAAATGAGCACTATATCTAAAATTTATTGTAAAGGCTTATTCACAGCAACCAGAGCTTTGATTGAACAAGCTTAGCATTCAACATATACGGAAGAATGGAGACACAGGCAAGGAATAATGTTAGTCTGAAGAACTCAACTTGGAGTTAATAAATCTAACAACCAGTGACGGTGATACGTTTAGTGTATAAAGTAGGAAAATACTCATTCCACTGAATGCACGTTGCTTGCCTACTTTAGCCAAGGTTCTGAGTGAAAAAGAGAAAAAAAAAAAGAAGAAAGAAAGAAATAAAAACATTCTTTCCTCAGAATTGTTAACCATAAATTCAATTTTATGATTTGCTACCCACAGAGCCTAAAATAAATACCTAAATCTTAAAGCCAAAACTTAAAGTGATATATATATTGATAGTGTGCCCATAGGTACTTGGCAGAAACAAATGCAAATCACATCTTGGAGAACACATTTAGAACAAAGACCTGAAAGAATTTGTATAGATGACATATTGAAGACCATAAATTCGAAATGAAAATTCACTACATACACTAGGGAACAGTTCATCTTGAGTAAGAGTGAGCAGGACAACAAAAATACTATACTCCAGAATCTCTGGGATACAACAAAGATAGTACTAAGAGGAAAGTTTATAGCAATTAGTAATTATGAGAAAAAAATAGAAAGACTGCAAATAAACAACCTAATAATGCCTCTGAAGGAGCTGGAAAGTCAAGAAAAATGAAACCCAAAGTAATAGAAAAAAATAAATAGTAAGTGTCCAAGCAGAAAAAATGAAATAGAAAAAAAAAAAAAAAAACAGTAAAAAAAAATCAATGTATCGAAAAGCTGGTTCAAGGGAAGAACAGAAGACATAATCGTTATATTGCTGGACTCCCACATAGTTGACCATGGTTCAAGTCTCAGACCCAGCAGCTTAAAACTTACACTGGGCACGTGTGCATGCATGTCCTAAATCCCAAGAGGAGAATGGAAGAGAAGGGACTGTGATGTGACCATCCTCCAGGGGGCTGATCTCTTGCTTTCTGTCTCTCTGTCATTCAGGCAAGCACACACACCTGAGCAAAAATCTCTCTTCAAAAATAAATGAATAAATAAGTAAACTGGTTCAAGACCAAGTTTATTGACAAATCATTAGCTAGATTTAAAAAAGACAAAGAAGAATCAAATAAATAGCTAAAAAGTAAGTGAAAAAATTTCAACATGTATTTTCATAAGGGAAATGCCAATCAAAACAACAATGAGGTATCACTTAATCTCCATCTGAATGACTATAATTAAAAGAAGAAGTGCTGGAGAGTACTGCTTGGGGAAAGAAAATTAGAAGAGGCACTGAGGAAAACAGTATGGTGGTTTCTCAAAAATCTAAAAATAAAACTACTGTATGACCTAGCTATCCCACCATTGAGTATATGCCAAAAGGATAGGAAATCACTCCATGGGAGAGACACATATTATTCACAATAGCTAAGGTATGGACTCAATCTAAATGCAAACAAAACAAAACAAAACAAAACAAAAACAAAAACAAAAAAAAACAGATAAATGGATTGGAAAAATACGGTACATGTACAAAATGAAATACAGTTCAGTCATGGAGAATAAAATCCTGTCATTTGAAATAAAGTGGATGAACCTAGAAAATATAATGCTAAGTGAAATAAGCCAGACTCTGAAAGATTAAAAGAAGATATCCTTTTGTAAATTATATCCAATGTCTGTGAAACTGAAGAATTCAAAAGCTTAGAGAGAGGGAGAATAGCAGTTGATACCAGGAAGAACTTGGTGGAATATAGAAATGTAAGAAAATAAGGGTACCTGCAGGATGAATTACATTATATTTCAAGTTTACTTCTGTTCATTCTCCACTGATATTAATGGTTGTCTATGTGTAAGACTCTTAACACATGATTTAAAGGGACCAACAGTTAGTATAATGGTTATGTCACGGGACTCCCATGTAGTCGACTGTGGTTCGCATCCTGGACCTGGTGGCTTAAAACACGCTGGACAAGTGTGAGTGCATGTCCAAGATCTCAAGAGGAGAACGGAGGAGAAGGGATTGTGGTGTGGCCATCCCCCAAGGGGGGTGATTTCCTGCTTTCTGCCTCTCTGTCTTTCTCTCTCTGTCTGGCGAGCACACGTACCCTATAGCAAAAAAAAACCTCTCCAAAAACAAAAACAAACAAACAAAAAAGAAAACAAAGAATACTAGAACTATTATCAAAATGTATAACAGGACCTTTCTATGTAATGTTTAAGGATGTCAGATCCCACATGGCCAACTGCATGGTTCAAATCCTGATCCTGGTGGCTTGAAAACCAAGTTGGGCATGTGTGCCTGAATGTCTAACACCCCAACAGGACAGAGAAATGGAGGAGAGGGAATTATAATGTGATCAGGTCCCACTGAGGCTGCTTTCTTCCTATCCCTCTCTGTTTGTCTTTATGTTTCTTGCTGGCAAAAGTACATGCCCTCTCACAAGTAAAGATATATTTTTAAAAATTTAAAAAGAAAAAAATGTATACAACATAATGTACAATTCTTTGTTGAAGAAGATAAAATGAGTATATCCTTGACTTGATTATTATATACTGCATGCATGGTTTAAAAAAAATATTGTACCCAAAAGATATACATCTAATATAAAACAGAAATAATTTTAAAAAATTAAATTAAAAAATGAAAAAATAATGATAGCAGCAGAACCAGTTACACTCTATCTTCTCACCCAAATAAGATTGGTTTTATTCGATTCCAGATTCAAACATCTCTGTGAACACTAGGGCAGCTAACATTACAACTTCCTTGATAAGCATGTAATGAAAGTATGAAATGAAACAAGAACACTCATTAAGTGAACATGTGCTCCTCATTCTGTACACTTAAATACAGGAGGATGTATTCTGAACAAAAACCATGGGGTACTCTTTCCAAAAGCTTGTAAGATTATGACTCTTTTTTCCCTTTCCTTCTTTCCCTTCCCTTCCTCTCCTTTTCTTCCTTTCCTCCTCCTCTCTCTCCCTCCCTCTCTTTCCTTCCTTCTTTTCTCTCTCTTCTTCTTTTTGTACACATGTATGTCTTCCTCTCTCTCTCTCTTCATCACTCAAATTTCCAGTGGATACATGCTCTTGCCAGAGAGAAACAGATGGGGGTTGGGGGAGTAAGAAAACAACCTCTAACATGGCTCAGCCATGCAACAATCCCTCTTCCTCTACCTTTCCATCCAGCTAGGACCTTGGGCATGCACACACACATGCCCATCATGCCCTCCAAGTCACCAGGGCAGGGATTTGAGCCAAGTTTGGTCATGTGGGATCCCCCTTCCTTAACCACTAGTCCACAGGGCCAGCCTCTATGACTAACTCTCAATGCATTTTACCATTAAGCACGATCTTTTCCTGTTAAAGAAAAGTCTATGTATACAAAGTGCCAAAATAAATTAGAAAAGTGAATTACAGAGATATTTCCAAAACACAGAAAAAATTTTTTGGAAGTGTACACTGAATGTGACCCTGGTTATTGTGTTCCAAAAAATTAGTAAAACCTGGCCCAGCTGATAGCAGACTGAACTGTAGTGCTGGCAAATGGATGATCAACCATAGGTTTGGGTCCCTGGTTCGGCATGAAAATGCATTGCGAGTATGAACACATGCCCAAGATTCTGACAAACTGGGGCTAGGAAAGGGGTTACAAAGTGATGAGACCCTGTTGAAGGTGCTTTTGTCTCTCTTTCTTCCATGCATGCACACAGTCTAGCATGAATAGAAATAAATTTAAAACAAAATTAAAAAAAAAAAATGAAGGGGCCAGCCCCACAGCTTAGTGGTTTAGGGAGTGGGATCCCACATATGGCCAACGATAGTTCAAAGTCTATACCTGGTAGCTTGAAAACATACCACGTACAGGTTTGTGGGTGTTCCAAATCCCCAAAGTGTGGAGAAATGGAGAAGGGATTGTGGTATAACCACATCCAACTAGGAAATGCTTTGCCCCTCTCTTCTCTCTGTCTCTAGAACTCTGATGAGTACACATGCCCTCTGGCAATAAATAATAATAAAATAAAACCCCATTTCAGGAGTTTCTAACATGAATTTTTTTATAAAAAGTATTATAATTTTTTTAATTAAAAAAAAGACCTGCATATCAATTTTTTTACTCTACTTGACACCTTTTGTTAACAATCTATGATGAGATACCTGGTTCCATTACTCTGTAT